ACTTCAAAAAAAGGAGGAGGTTCTCAATTCTACTGTATGTTTTTTTTGTATGTAGTTACGCGATAACTCCGGTATTTGTGAATCGATTTTTGATGATACTTTTTTTGTTGGAAACGGTTCCATTTAAATTTCAAGAAAATATTCGACCGCTCAGGGTGGCAAACTAAGATTTGTTGTCATGTTTGACCACCATATTTAATTATTTTTGTGAAATTACTCCACTAGTTTATTATAATTATTATTACAAAGGTCGTACACTTAGAAAAAATTCCTTCGATTCAGCTGGATTTGAACAAACGTCTTCCAGCAAACCGTGTCAGACGCTATGCCAACTAAGCCACGGAAGGAACTAGCGGACCTTGCGAATTTTTCTATGTGATTGTTGTAGATCTTTGTTTTTTGTTTTAGGCGCTACGGCTTTATTGCCCATAAGTAGTCCGAAATGACAATTTCCAGAAATAACGTTTGGTCGAAATTTCATAACCTCGAAAGTAATTTTGAGAGGAATATGTTTTTTCTTTTAAACCTAAATTTACCTAACCTAACCTAATCGTGTCTGCGATAAACATCCAACATATCCTGAAAGAACAATGGTTTCGTTATAATTCGGTTTTCGGTGTAATGAATTCGAACAAACGTTACTTCGGAAAAAAATTCGAGTTTGTGATAGATTACCGCAAAAAAGTCGTTAAAAACAAAAATCAATGTGAGCATTACTGCGTTCCAATTTTGAAGGGTAGGGGTGAAATTAGAGGCACATAAGACTTATCAACTTATGTCTCAGGGTGACAGTGACAGTGGTCTTCAGATCTTTGTTTTAAGCCCAGAGTGGCACTGCAACTGTTACGGATAGGCGTGTCGCTTACCACCAGGCGCACGACTTGCTTATTGACTTACATCTATGAGTCAAATTTTATTGATATCGGTTAACGGAATTTGGTTAAATTTAATAAACCAGATTCATTCTCTAATTTGCCACCTTTAGGATGGTTCACCCTCGTTCCAATAAAAAAAGAATAATCGAAATTGGTTCACGAATTTTGGAGTAATCGCGTAACATCAAAAAAACACACGACGATTTGAGAAACCTCCTCTTTTTGATTTTTTAATATAATCACGCCATCGAGTATATAACCAGAAAGAGACGAAATAAGGTCATCCATCCCTATCAACTCATCAGGCAAATGGGCCTTATATCACTTTTAAATATCAACTCTCGTTTGCGCTGAAATCACAGATTAGAAAGCTGAAATAGTACAACGCTAACAACTGCCCTGTGTGTATGTCTCCGTATATTTAAAAAATGTTGTGTATTTATTGCAAAATATTAAATATAATATCTGTAACAATGGGAGGCTGTTCCATTTGGTGGTAGGGAAAAACAGTAAAACGTCTAATTACAAAACAAACGGAATCACATTTCATCGGTAATTAAATATGTCATTTTTGCAATTTTTGTC